TCAGCACTCATTAATTTAATAAGAGCAAGGATCATTCCTTTCTCTTTTTCTGTCATTTGGGTTCGTGGCATTATCAAGAAAAAAAAAAAAAATTGCCCCAAATTACGTAAGTATGGGGTAAACACAACCATTTTATTTGCTATGTGAGATAATCTGCAAATCAGGCGTTACTTTTGATGGCTACTGTACTTTCAATACGTTTGATGAAGTTCGTGCTGCTATCAAAGGATATGCAGCAGAAACTAGCACAAATTTAATTTTAGGAAAAACGACAAAATATCCAGACGGCAGTGGTTATAGACAAGCATACTTTTTCTGTGAAAAACAGGGAAATTATGGTGGAAAAAAACAACAATATACCACTAAACGCACTGGTTGTCCTTTTGTTGTTGGTGTGAATTATCACAAATGTAGCAAGAAATTTGTAATAACAAAATCTTACCTAAAACATAATCACGACATTTGTTTAGACACTACTAAATTCAGTATAGTTGCGCGCAAATTCGATCAAAATGATCTTGATTTTACTGAGAGGCTTCATAATGATGGGCTCCGCGGCCAGTCTTCTCATAACAAACGTATTCATGAAGCTGAAAAAAATAAAAATAATACAGTGTGTTCGAAAAAGACTAAGGTTATGCAAAAATTGGACAAAAATAATAAACTATCTAGTACAAATAGTACAAGTATTGAACTATGTGTTCCTCAAAATGTAATATTAAAGATTCATAATCCAAAAAATGACGGTAATTGTGGGTTTCGATCATTAGCCATAGCAATTTTTGGGGATGAAGAAAGTTGGCGAAAAATTAAAACTAATATGAAGTCTCATTTGAATGAGCAACATGATCTTTATAACAACAAATTAGGATATGATATTAGTCGACTAGATGAAGTTTTATCTTATACGAATTCAGGAGTTGCTTCACAAAAATACTGGTTTTATTCTCCAGAATATGCGCAGCTAGCATCAGACACATTCAATGTACCAGTCATAGTATTAGCTGCTGAAAGCTATTCTTTCATGCCACTTAATCAAGAACCTGGTTTTTGCAAAAGTCCTATCATTCTTCAATGGCATGATAATCACATTAAGTTAATTGAACATAAACCAAATTGGTATGCACAACCTCTCCCTTTAAATCCCCAATACAAATCTTTATATGAAAATTTTATATCACAGCTAGGGTTTAAAATTAGACCTCAAAACAGATTCTGTCAAAACCCTGTCATAATTGATTAATACCATGTTTGTTCCATAACTAGTATAGCATATGTGTGCGACTTTGCCAAGTTTTAATGCAAATTTCGAATTTTTTGATTCATTTAACAACAAATTAGACATCTTATAGACTTTCTTTCGCATGCAAAATTTCATGTTGAATATTTTTATTTAGATATTAGAATTTTCTGATTATTATTATTAATATGAAACTCACAAAATTACGATTTAAGAAAAATAAAGAAATAATTCAATATTTAGTTAATTATTTATTAAAAGCATTCAAAGAATTTATTTAGTAATTGTAAACATTGAGTCTAATTACATAT